TCCCTTATCTGATGCATAATTTACAAAAAAAATTTTTTTGAGAGTCCCCCCCCCACTATAGGGCGTGTGCACTCGCCAGCTAGAGAGACATAGAGACAGCAAGCGAAAAATCACCCCCCAGGTTGCAATCCCTTCTCCTCCATTCTCCTCTTGGGATCTTGGGCATGCGCGCACATGCGCCCGGCGTGAGTTTTAAGCCACTGGGTCCGAGATGCAAACCGCGGTCGACTATGAGGGAGTCCAGCGACATAGCCATTACGCTAACTGCTGGTTCCCAAGGCATTAGTGTTTTTATTTGCGGTGGTCTTAGTTTGCAAAATTCTGGCTTATTATTATTCAACTTAATGATTTAGAATCATGTATTCAGTTTTGTAAAAGGGTATTTTGTTTTACAGAGGCCAGGGGGCCTCATTAAAGGTTAAGTGAAAAGTAAAAAATGACTGACTGAGCTTGCCCAGATCAGGCAGTCTCCTTGATTGAATGACATATGTGTAACTTCTCATATTTAAATATATTTAAGAATAATTAAAAGAAATCCAATTAAAATACATAGGTATAGGCACAATCTAGGAAAATCTGACAACATACATTTTAAGTAGAAAATATCTAAAAGAATCAAACAGTAAAAATTGTAATAAAAAATAAAATAATTAAGAATGAAAGACTGTAAAAGAGCTAAAAATAAAAGTAACCACCCCCATAAGACAAGACTTATTAGCTTTCATCAGACTTAAAGCAAAAATTTAATAACTCTCTTCCAGAAAAATGCACAAAGTACAACTTTTTACATAACATCTCAGAGCAATGTATGGACTTACTTCACAAATTCCTTTCTGAGGGACCAGCAAATGACACAGTGGTTACGTAACTGACCACAGTTCAAGTCCTGGACCTAGTGGCTTAAAAAATCACACAGAGCATATCTGCGTATGTGCTCGAGATCCCAAGAGGAAGATGGAGAAGGGACTGTGGTGTGGCCATCTCCCCAGGGAGTGGTTTCTCACTTTCCCTCTCATTGTCTCTGTCTCCCTCTCTTCAGTGACCAAACCTTTGAAAATAAATAAATTGTTCTTCCTGGGGCCAGTAGATGGTGTTGGACTCCTACATGGTCAACCAGTTTGAGTCCCTGACCTGGTGGATTAAAAATCACACCAGACACGTGTGCACGGGCCCAAAATCCTGAGAGGAGAATGGAGAAGGGACTATGGCATAGTCATCCCCCCTGGGGATGATTTCTCATGTTTCCTCTCACTGTCTCTGTCTTTCTGGCAAGAGTACACACCCTATGGCAAAAACCTTTTAAAAAATTGTTTTTAGAAATATAGAGAAGATTCTCTTGACTTCTCTTCCCTAGTTTGGAAGAAGCTATGGGTGCCTTTATTTGCATGTATTTTAATATCATGTTCTGTAATGTGTATTTTGGATTCTCCTTCCAGCTTTTTTAACATGTGCCTGGTTTTCCAATTAGGAGTTAAATAAATTCTTTAACATGCACTCATTTAGGATCTGTACTTTTGAAAAGCATCCTTTAAGGAAGAGGTGCAGCTGAGGGATCTTAACATTGAATACGGAGAAGATGGGGTGTTCCCTCCACAACTAATGAGCTTACTTCAGCTTAGGGAAGGAGGATAGTACTACAGAAAGTAGCAGAACCAGGAGCTGTGGGTGAGGTCACTGGGGCTGGCAGGGCCAAAGATGGGGTCTCCAAAGGCCTATGTCAACCCCCGAGGACTAAACTCTTGACAGCGTACATGCATGTGTGTGTGTGTGTGTGTGTGTGTGTGTGAGAGAGAGAGAGAGAGAGAGAAAAAAAGAGAGAGAGAGAGAGAGAGAGAGAGAGAGAGAACTCGGCCTTCTGAAATAACCTTCTGGGCCGTTTTTAAGTCCTCAGGTTTTTACTCAGAGGCGAGCTGCAGTCTGATGAACGCATTTGTGCTCTGGGGCTACAATTTAAATGAAAAAGAACAGAAAGTAATAGAAGGCATTGGGTGTAGTAAAGCAAGCATTTCATAAACCTTCAGTAAGTATACATACTGTTTTACTTTACCTGTCTGCCTATCTATCCATCCATCAGTATAATTTTACTTTGGATCATGAGGAAAAACATTGCCTAACAGACTCTAAAGCATTAAAGAAAAAATTACTCTTAGCCTATTTTTTCCCCCATGGGAGAGAGAAACCGAGCATAAGCCAGCATCCCCACCAGGGTCTTCACAGATCTAGCCTGTCCCAGCCAGCCTCCCCACTTGTCCTGGGGCACTATGCTTGTGAGTGCTCAGGGAGTTCCCAGGTTCTTGCAGGTCCAGCTGTGTTACCTACCAAGCTGAACTACCACTAATCCTAAAAGGACTAGCTACTTCAGGAAGGTGAGTGGGGCTTTGTCTACTTTTTCCAGGCAGCCACCGTTTAAACAAACTGAAAAAATGAAGCCAGGAAAAAATGAAGCCAGGATCAAGATAAACTTATCTCCTCAGGAAGGTCTTTATTAATCAGTCTTTGCCAATTAGGCTCCAGCAAGAAGTGGGAGGGTAGAAAGAATGGGAAAGATTATTTTTCACTACTTAAAAATCTACTTTTCAGTGCAGTTCTAAGGTTTAGCTCTCAGAAGTATACAAATCTTTACCTTCTATCAGACCAAACAAAATTGTCATTACTCTTCAACCTCTGCAAGGTTACAACTGCTTAAAAAATAATTTTGCTTCTGTTGACCCTACTTGTAATTTTTAAAATGTAAAAATCAGGCCAGCCAGTCACATGGCGAGGAAGGCCGGATCCTACATGGCTGACTGCACAGTTTCAATCCCGGACCCAGGGACTTGAACAAACACATCAGGCCTGTGTGTGCACATGCCCAAAACCCTGAGAAAATAACGGAGAGATTACCTAGGAACTCTCCCCCCACTCCCCACACCGTGAGTGCTTTCTCACTTTCCCTCTTTCCCCAGTCAGTAATTCGAAGTCTTAAGTTAGAAAAGTTTCTAATTATTAGATAGTTAGAAACTAATTTTTTAAGGTTTTTGCCATGCACTTATTGGTTGAGGGGTTGTGAAGGAGAGAAAAAGTGAAAAATCATTCTTCAGGGCAATGGCTACACTACGATCCTTTCTTCTCCTGGGATTTTGGGCATACACACATATGCACCTGGTGCGATTTTTCAAGCTGCCAGGTCTGGGACTTGAACTACAGTCAGCCATGTGGGAGTTCAGC